TATGCTCATGTATCTTCCACAATGGATTAATTTATGATCGTGTTGGTGCTCAAGTATTATGATTAATTAAAATATTGATTGCAATTGATGCTTGAGCAAACGTTTTTATCAATTGCTACCATTTAGCAATTATTGTTTTTACAAATAGAAATAAAATAAATTAATGAAAACAATGAATCAACGAAAGGATAAAGAATTTACGACACTTTCAAATTCTGTTACTTCCTTTTCAGAATTTACTATGAACCAACAGAACACAAAAACGTGCCTTTTTTATTTGCGGCGAATATTTTTAGAATAAGTAATAAAGTAATAATAATTCACCAACGTTGATAAAACGTAGTAGTAGGACCCCGAGCTATACATAGATAGGTGACAATTTGCTTTTGTTTAAGCCATGTACCCACGTAATTTTTCGAAGTTTTGATTAAAATTAGAAATAGAAATAGTTTAGCGTTAGGGTGGGGTTAGAGGCAGAGTGGTTTATAGGTAAAATCGTCTCCCTGACATTTTTTGCTAATGCTCAAGACAGGTTTAGACTGTCGTTTTTCATATTTTTGCATTTTCTTTATTTTTTAACTTCTTCGGGCTGATCCATGTAAACAAACTTTCGCAACCCCGGTTAGTTGATTTATACAAAAAAGTCACATGGATACATGGCTTTAAACAACCCCTATATTTAGTCTATTTTTGACTGTTTTTCTGTAGATCTTTTCCATTTTTAGAAATATATAACAATTTTTTAAAATTGTTAGCTGTTCATAGATTGCTTGAGATCCTAGCATAGTATTTGAACAATTATTTTTTCTAATCAATCAATGAAAAATTTCAACCAATAAACACAACTCTATGATAAAAAAAGGATGTTTGGGCTTTTATTCAGTGTCTAAAATTGGGTTGCAAAGTCTGTAAACTGTATAAAATTTTAAATTCCCACAACTAAATCTGAAGTATATATGCAAATTCCACATATAAATTTGCAAATTTTACTTATAAATTTTAATTAAATGTTCATATACACAACTAAATTTTATAAATTTTTATAATTTACAAATTGTTTTTTTGAATTAGTTGTAGCTTACAACTAATTTAAAAATTGAATTTCAGATACTGTGTCTAAGCCTTTATCTCTTGTTGGTTTGAATAATAAATACTCTTGATTAGTTAAATGAACTTTTGCTAATAAAATTTTCTTTTTAATATATTAAACTTTTGTTATGTATTTTATTTATTAGAATAATTAATATAATCATTTTATTAAACTATTTTTTTACTAATAAAAATTTACTCTTAGATCTATTCTAACTAGTTGATTAAGGTGCTTAAAAACACCCCAAGAGTATTATTTGAATTCGTTTTACAAAGAGCAATGACTAAAAAAATTTTTTTTTTTTTTAGTACTATTTTTTAATAATTTGGGGTTAGCATTAATATTATCAGAATTGGTTTGTAATTGGTCTAATTTTGGGTATTCTCAGTACCTCAATTAATAAATCAAAGTATATTAATAATATATTAGAAATTAAATTTTAATTAATAGAAAGTAATTTTAATTGATCAATTAAGCTTGTTATTAAAATAAATAAAGTAATTTATTATGTGAAAAAAAAATTTCAAATAGTAAAAATGTTTGGTGTGTTTGCTATTTTAGTCAAAAAAACCTTTTGTTTTTAACTATTTTTTTTTGTCTAGACTTATCAAAATTTTATAAGTATTAAAATAAATAAAGTATTTTTTTTTTTTTAAAAAAAAAATTGCTTATATGCTGTAAATCTTTATTAATTAATATAGATATCTATCACGGTTTTCTTCACCCACGCCCAGACCTTTGCATTGATATACCCAGTGAATTACAAGAAGAAATTAAAACACACTCACATCTCACTGCAATAGAATTGAAAAATCATCTACGGTGTCAAGGTTTTGATATCTCAAAATATTCTCCTAAGCGTATTTACTATTGGAAGTCCATGGCGAATCAAGAACTATTTAAGCATTCTGATAATCACATTGAATCTGCATGTAAATTGCTAAGTGAACATGAATGCCATGGGTTCCAACCGTGCTTAGAAATAAAGAATTCAGATACTACTGCCATTAGTTTTATTACACCTCTGCTAGAAGAAATTAAGAATCATAATATTAGCATTAGTGAGATCTATCTTGATGCAACTTACAAGACAGCAAGAGGGCGCTATGAGCTCTATAGTGTTATAGCTGACGTAGAAGTACCGGATTTCCAATTGCATATTTAATCTTTGATACAACAAAAGCAATGGATACAAGTACCAGCATAGGAAAGCGTCGTAAAGTTCTAGAGTGCTTCCTGGAAACTATAAAGACGCATGATATAAATCCTGATTTTGTATTTACAGATAAGGATTTTGCAGAAATTAATACTGCAGCTTAGGTATGGGGTCTTCAGTGGTCTAACTATGTGCCTGGCATATAAATTGTGCATTAAAACTTAAACTTAGAGAAAAGGCCAAGCTATCGGATAATGTAAAACATGAGACATCTCTATGTGCGACCTATGATATTACACAAGCAATTAATGAGTTTGACTTCATTGATCAAACATTCTACCCAACAGAAGATGATCGTGATCCAAAAAAATATATTATCTGCCCACCAGCATGTCAAACAACAGTTTTGGTGCTTGTACAAAAACATTTTAACATGCATCCTCTCATACTTGTTGATGCCCAGAGAACCACCTTAACACCAGCAGATATCAGGTATACTGCTGTAAAGGAAATATATCAATTTTGCATTGAAAATGCATTGAGACTACTATGGGTGTACCTCTGGACCAACTGGTATTCTCCAGACCAATAGCATCTGTGGGCACGATTAGCCAGGCCAACTATATCTTTTGGTAAAACTACAATGAAAATAGAAGCCCATTGGAATGTCATTAAACAATGTTATTTGTATTGGTTTAATCATCCTAGACTAGATTTATTGTTTTGGACACTAATTAATGAGATAATACCTGCACAAAAAGAGCAATTTCTGCAAATAGTTGCTGGTGTTGTTAAACTGTGGTGGTGGGATGATTTCAAAAAAGAATAGATCACTGCAGGAGCAAAAAATAATCAAAATAAAATTATTAATATTAATGAATATACCAAAGGCAAAAAAAAACATGAAGATAATGAAAAAATAGTTGAATTAAAGAATTCATATTTCACTGATATTAGTCAGTGGGTCTGCAGCTGTCCAGCCTTTCTTAGAAGCCGCTTCTTGTTGTGCAAACACCTAGTCTGGCAGGTTGCCAATTGCCAAATGGTTAACGACGACGATTAATACAAGATAACTTTAGGCGTTATACTACTCCTCCATTCCTTGTTCTAAAAAACTATGAAGATGATGAAACCACATCTAGCATCTTGCCTGTTGTACCTTTTGAAATTGAAGCTACTATTAATAATATGCCTCATAATAGTATTAACATTGATGAGGATCCTGAAGAAGAGACACGTTCTTATGTTGAGTTAAATTGAATAGGCAGTCAAACGAATTATTACTGAAAAGTCTGCTAATAACTGGTGCCAAGTTCGCTCAATGATAAAATGGAGTCAATTACAGGCAACAGAAAGACAAAGATACTAATGAGCAACTTGGATATCAAACAAAAAACCTTACTTGATATACCTATCACATCCAGAAGAGTCAGGTAATTCTGAAAAAACAGGCTCCATTTTGGCTAATATTGAAGATACCATGGATGTAGAAAATGCTGAAGTGCACAATGAAATCAACTAAATCTATATATTAACCAAAATCTCTAAATATTTAAAATATTAAAATTCAATATTCGATAGTCTTATCTCTGTCATTATAATGCTATTTCTTAGACGAATACTCATTATAATTACTCTAATTTATTTTCTATTTGTGTCACTTTACTCTTATAATTCCTAGTGAATTTTAACTGTATTAATGTAATGAAGTGTAATGTATTTAATAATAAAAGAATAGAAGTTGATTGAAAAAGTTAATTGAAAAATTTTTTTTAAGATAATCGAATTTGAGTGTAACTTATATGTAACCCGAATTTTAATGATGGATCGATGGGGTCGGAGGTGATCGACGATGTCACGTGATCTGAAATTTTCGTGGTCGCCCTGGTGGATTCCTAATTTCTCCCCACAGTTGTGATATTGGGCCAATCAGGATGCAAGATCAGGTGTAACGTGACGATCAAAACAACAATCGCTTTTTTTTGAAGTCACACTTATCGCAAAACTTCGCCTAAGAAATCACCTTTTATGCACTAACAAAAAAAATTCGTTGCAAAATTTTAGTATAATGTTACCTACTAACTCTAACCTCAACCCTAACTGAGGTGTCACATTTTGTTTAGAAGGTGACATGTAAATTTGTACGAATAATCCCAGCCAATCACAACTGTGGGGAGAAATTAGTAAATGCGGACTATAGTTACACGATGGTGTGGGACCGGATTGATTGTTTTGACAAGTCAATCATTCATAAGTCAATCATGTGTGACTACCTAATAATAATACCGTGTGTTGACATAGATCACTTGGTTTATTTTATCGTCGCGTCGTCTATTTTATGAGTTTTTAATTTTTATTATTTTATAATTATATGAATTTGAAACGCACTTCATGATAATAATTCAGCATGGTAATGGTAAGAGTTGCTTAAATTTTATTTGTTCGTTGATTTCATATGGAATTTCTATTGATATTTTTTTACTTCGTTTTTTGACTCATCATTCAGAGCAACTCCTTTCTTTCAACGTCGTATTTTATTCGGGTCACGTATGCACTGTACAAGTATGTATATCGATTTTCTCTTTATTTTATGTGTTATTTATTCGAACAAAAGAAAGAACTTTATTTATTTACTATTACTTTTACATTACATCATCTTACGCCATTTCCCCTATTAAGCTCATACCTAATACAAAGGCTGCTCCGGAACTACACGACAATAAGTAAGTATTGATTAATGTGCCGTTTCCAGTGCTAGCGACTTGGAAGCAACAGCACTTCTTTCGGCGGATTTGAGGTCTTCGGATTCTGAGTAAGGAGTCTGTTACGTTCCTTCCTCGAAGAAGTTAGAAAAGGTGTTGGTTGGTCGAGTCTTACACTGCCTCTGTAATTCTCGAGCCTAATTTCATAGCCCCTACGTTATGTCCCATGTTTTTTGCTGCCTCCATGATATTTTCGTGTATTTTTATGGATCGTTTTGAATTATTGAAAGTCGGAGACCTGTAAAAGTTTTTGTTAGTCTTTTTTTTTTTTTTTTTCTTTTTTCATATTTTTCTTGTTTTGTATTAATAGTAAATTTTTTTTATTAAGCTTTTTTTTTCTTGTTTTGTATTAATAGTAATTTTTTTTTTTAAGTTTTTTTTTTCTCGTTTTGTATTAATAGTAATTTTTTTACGGGTTTTCTGTCGAAAATATCATTTATTTATCCAAAATTTTATGAGGCACAAAATCGTTGGATATAAGGTATGCTAAGGCGTTGGGCAAGCCTTAGTATACCAGTAATTTTAGGTCACCGAGTTAATTGATCTTGCTAGTACTTTAATACTAATCTATCCTTTTTTTTTTTTTTTTTTTTTTAATAGTGCTTTGAATTAACGGCTTTAATGTCAGGAGGAATCGCATATGTTAATAGTGATGAGCTCGAAACATGGCTGAGATCCGTTAATTAAAGAACTACACAACATGAAACATTATTAAATATACAGATTACTTGTTTTTGTTAGCTAAAACTTTTATATATGTGATTGCTAAGATAAATTATCAAATAAGCTAGTAATTTTTCAACTTAAATATAAGTTTGGTTGTGTAAACTTTGTTTTTTAATACTTAACTGGTACAAACTTTAAATTTAATCAATAAATCTTAAGTTAAAGACTATATATCTAACTAAAAATCCCCAGTCGTAGCGATAAGTATTAAATAAATTATATATGGATCAAAGACGTGTATTTTTTTTTTTCCTTCAGGGTGTTCAAGAAAAATGGGTCAGGTGGTCAAGATCAATGTTTTTGCGTCTTACGGTATTACAGGTTTTCGCTCATTTATATATTTTCTATTTTTAGTAACTTTATTATAATATAATTTACCGTTATATAATACGTATTTAATTCCTTCACAACATTTTTCTTTACATACTTCAAAACCATTGCAAAATTTAACGAACAAAAATAACAGGACATCAAGTATTACAAAGAATTGTAAAGACCTATACAGCAAAGATGACCTCTACAATGATAGCACAAATTTAGAATACGAAATCGGAGAGCACGTACTGTACGTAAAAAAATTCTTATAAATCGATCGATTTTAATATGACGCACGCATAATAGATAAATTGATTTGACGCATCTCAATTTCAAATTCACGCCCATTCAAATTTCATGCACAACATATATATCAATACTCATCTGTTAGAAAAATATAGGAACGTCGTAACAGGTAATGAGTGTCAACTAAAAAGTATATCATAAAGAGTGTAAACTAAAAAGTGTAAAGATGTCGTAACTAAAAGCATAGAAACATATCAAATAAAAATAGAAGGCTTTTTTTTATTGACACAATGTAGACAACTGATTAGATTGTTAGATAATGGGTAAAAAACGAGTTCCAAACCAACCAATCATCTTAAAATTTCAACCATTTTCATTTTTCTCCAAAAATATATATTAAAAATTGAAATCTATCGCTATGCTTAATTATACATTATAAAATTAACATCGTATTATTACTAGATGTCTTCTATCAATTTTTTTCCCTGCTTTGAAGCCAACGACATTAATAATTCAAATTCACCAGAATTTTGACACATTCGGTAAAATAAGGAATTGCTATCGGTAATTAGATTATATGGACTATGTCGGTGACATATAAACGCATAAATATATTAATAAATCACGTGAATGCACATTACGATAGAATTATTTGCTTACCTGTCAAATTCTATTATATTTCCTCGATCTTGAAAATATATATGGAAAAAAACTTAGGATCAATTCTTTAAAAATATGCTAAGAAACTTCAATAAATAGGAATTTATTTCATACCAATAACTAGTATCCTATCATAATCAATAACAGTACGTAACCGATGTGCAATACATAATATTGTACAGTCAGCAAATTCAGTCCTTATCATTTTTTGAATTTTTTCATCCATAGCAAAATCGATACTAATAATTAAAGGGAGATGAAATAAGTGAGCTAATACATTGAGTTAAATATTTTAAACAAAATTATTAGTACTGTAATACCTCGCTGTGGCTTCATCCATCAATATTATCTTTGAACTTCTCAACAAAGCTCGAGCCAGACACAATAATTGCCTTTGGCCTTGACTAAAATTTTTTCCGCCTTCACTTACAGGTGTGTCCAAATTTTTAAATAAATTGATATTATCACCTGAAAATGAGGCTGCATCCGCATTCTCGTCAGAAGGAATTAAATGAACACGTCGCAGAGATTCCAATATTTCACTATCATCATATTGAGTAAACGCGTCAAGGTTTGACCGTATAGTACCTAAGAACGGTTGAATTATACCTTATTAGCAAAAGGTCAAATAATAGTTGACCTCTGACTCGAATTACCTGTAAATAATATTGGATCTTGTGGAATTATAGTTATTCTTGATCTAAGATCTTCAACTCCGACCGATGAAATATCGATTTCATCAACTAAAATTCTTCCATCCGATGGTTCCACGAATCGAAACAATGCCAATGCTATTGTTGACTTTCCAGACCCAGTACGTCCAACAAGTCCTATTTTTTCTTGACCTTCAATACTGAATGAAATGTGATGTAGTACTGATTCTAGATCAGGTGCATATTTAACTTCCAAGTTTTCTACCTTAATTGCACCACTATGTGGCCATGCAGCAGGTGGTCTTGGTTCTATTATAGCTGGAGCTTCTTGAGGAATTTCAGAAAACTCACACACTCTTTCAACAGCATTCAAACTCATTTCAAGCGAAGTATATTTTCTAACAGTCCACATTATTTGCTCTGTGAAACTCATTGCAAACGACAAGGACAAGCCAGCTAAACCAGCATCAATTCGGTCAATATTCCATAGAATGAAAATACCGGCTAAAAATGAAACAAATGAACCAGTAATGTTGAAACGGATTGAAAGCCAACGATTTATTAGCCAAACATAAAAGAATGGGCGACTGTTGTTATCTATTCTGTGATAGAAATGATAGATAACATATTCATTAAATGTAAAGTACGCAAAAAAATTTAATAAATCAATATACAAACTTTATTAGCATTTCTTGCATGAACCGCTTTGATGCACCGAAAGCTCTGATTGTTGTTATGCCACTACAAACGACGCGACATTATTAAAACAAATAAAATATATATATATTTAAAATATGATTCTAACACTTACATTAGAGTTTCAGTGAAATGAGTATAGAGCGGGGATCTTGATACAGAATCCATCCTCTTGAGTTCCCGAGATGCCTTCGAGTATAGTGCACCAACAATTGTATAAATAATACCTGTAAATTAAAAAAAAAAAAGCTTGTATTCTTTGTTATCGCAAGATATAGAACCAACAAAAGTAATAATGACAATGACGAATTTACCAAAAAAGATTGCCGCAATGAGGAACTCTATTAATTATGATCACAATTTTAGATTTAATAATTATATATTTAAAGAACATGATTGAAAAATTTTCAATACCTTTTGTAATGACCGTTACAACAGCCAAAGTACCCAACATCATGAGTGCCTATAAAAATTACATTGAGTAAGCTATAAAATTATATATTCCTCGACATCAAAACATCTGAATATAACGACATCTACATCTGAATATAATATCTGGATATAACGATATCTAGATATAAGACATCATCGTAAAATCTTTATATAACAATATTTTAAATTTTTCTTATAAAATATCGTTACAACTTAGTTATTTGAATAATAACGACATTTTAAATTTTTTACTGTTTAAGATAATACTGTTATAGCCAGAGTTACGTGTAATATTCATAAAGTATAACAAACAAAATGTATTTACATTGATCAAAAACCATGAAAGTTCGCCTGAAAAAAAAATATATATTTAGAGAAAATAAGGAGGATGTCGCAAAAATAATTATAATCATAACACCATGATAAATTTACCTGCTAAAGTACTATCAATTGTTTCAAAATCCTTGCTGAACCTATTAAGAATTCTCCCAACTGGGGTTGTATCAAAAAATCTTAATGGGGCGCGAATAACTTGATGAAGTAGTTTTTGATAAAGTTTTTTAGACGCTCTCAAAGATCCATAATAAAGACTAACAAAGCGCGAAACGCCAACGATAATAGATAAAATTGTAATTATCACGTATATATTTAAATAATAATCAACACCATGTGGCTTATGAATATCGTCGAATATTCCATTAACCATGATTAAATTATTTTGTTGAACAAAATTGAAAATTGTTGGAATTGTCTCATTATTGCTGCTAGCATTTGACCAAACTTGAAGCCACCAATTTTCCATTATCGTTATTCCTCTGGTGCCAATAAATAATACAGCGACAATCAACCAATAAAGTATATTTCCATTTGCACGGAAATATGACTTGTAAATCTTATACTTAACCATGCCAGTTGGTCGCGCTAATAATTATAATCAGAAGATAAACATACGTTTTTCTAAGCCCTAAACCAAATCAACAAACAAATGACGAGATACCTTCTTCTTCGATAAGCACTTTTGGTTTGGATACTTTTTTTGTTGGTTGCGAATCATCATTCGCCTGAATGACATTCTCGACGAGAGTTGCATCAGAAGCAGTTGATGAATCGGTATTGTGACCAAAATTGGATGAAGATGAGATTAACTGCTCGGAGACTTTACTGGCATCAACAGCATTTTCTGCGGCTAATTCAACGGAATTCACTAATTCTGATTGTCTATCATTCTCATCAAGGATTGAGGCCAATATTCCTGAGTTACGTAATTCTGAAATCGTACCCGACGCAACAACTTTTCCATTATCGACAGCAACCTTGAAGAATAAATTGGTCGTAATTAGTAAAATATTAAATAATTATTAAAAATGCACCTTTATTACATATTATACATATTGTTTATGCCATACCAAATAAGCGGCATCAGCCGAACAGAGTCTGACATGATGCGTTACAAGAATCCGGGTACGTCCCTTCATAATAGGACCTAATATACATTTATTCATTAATTGAAAAGCAGTATGTGCGTCAACAGCACTGAAAACGTCATCCATGTATATATGTTTTGCTCGCGAATAGACAGCTCTATGAAATTTACAATTTAGCATCAAGATGAATGGATAATTAATTAAAATTTAAAAATTAACATAAATAAATTTACCTTGCTAAAGCGACGCGCATCTTCTGACCACCACTTAGTGTAATTCCTTTTTCACCAATTTCTGTCATGTCTCCATCTTCTAGTATCTGAAAATCTTTTTCCAGTTCGCATATTTTTATAACTTGATTATAACGATTTTCATTGTAAGGAAGACCGAAAAGAATATTATCACGAATAGAAGCATTCTGAAGCCATGCTTGCTGTGCAACATAAGCAGTACAATTCGGAAGAATCCAGTTGTTTTCATTGATATTATTATCAATAGAATATGTTAAACAATGTGGACTATTGATATTGCCACTAATGATATTTGTTTCTGTTGATAAAGATATCAAATCATTATTAAGAAAGGTAATGTGACTTATTAAAAAAAAGTAGTATATTGAATTGGAATTATTTACCTCCAAGAAGTGACATTAATAATAATGTCTTTAATAAATATGCATTATATTAATATTAATATTTAGAAATAGTTTTAAATCATATTTGCAAGCATGCTATACTCAACCTTCCCGGATCCGGTTGGTCCGCCTAAAACATATATAACATAAGCAAATGTATATAATATAGCATGAATGAATTTTTTTTTTTAAAAAAAAAAAACTTACAAATGATGCTTAATTCGCCCACAGGAAATTTCAAATCCAAATCATGCATAGTAAACTCATCGCTATCTTCCTTAATTTTATTCCATGAGATAGTTGCTTTTTCAAAGGAGATTGATGTCATAAATGGATAATCATTTTCAGATGAAATGTCGGTCTCATCTTCGTCTAAAAATTTTTCTATCCTATGTACGCTGATCAATGCTTGAAGTCCTTCCATAAAAACTTCAGGCAGAATATTAAGGGCAAATCGAAGTTCATTGAAAATAGCTATCGAAGTAAAAGCAATGGCAGCTGTAAGCTCATTTCCTTGAACTTTGGTGAAGAAGAAAAAACTGAGAATAGTGACAAGGATAGGTGACGCAGTCCACAATATATCAAATATGGATAAATAAATAAAGTTATTTCGAAGTTGTTTAAGCTCAACCTTGCGAGCCTCTACAAAAAAAAAAAAAGCATGATTTTCAACATGTGCAAATCTTACAGATCATGCGAAAAAAAAAGGAAAGTAATATGTACTCAATATTTTTTTTTCCCAATTCTTTTCCCAGGAAAAGAATTTAATCATACGAATGCCTTGCAAAACCTTTCATTAGGAAATAAAGTAAGTATACAAAGGCATATATTGGTAATACATTACATTATATTACATTATAGGACTTACTTCATTCATAAGTCCCACCCTACGATCTCTAGCATTCATGAGTTTGTCTTGAGTTTTTGCAGATAACTTGGCCGTTTGATGATTAATTGGAAGTGTAATTATCATAACCGACAAACCGAGCAAACAAGACACGCCCAATAATTGATACAAAAAATAAACACCAACTATTAATTCTACTGGACTATCAATTGAACTTGTCCACCATACAGAGAATTCACCAACACGATTTGTATCAATTGACATAAGATTAGTAACCTTGCCAATAGATGAATTATCATCGTCGGCAACGTCTAAATTATCCTCAGATTTATTAGGTTCATCTTTCACAGTCGAAACATGAGAATCAATTCGCCTTAAACTTTTTGAATAGATTTCGGAATTAAGCATCCCTTTTATGCTAACATTAAGTACACTTGAGGCCCAATACCAATTCTGTGCAACAGTAAAATGTAACAAAATATATGATATAAGCATTCCAAATACATATATAAATCCAAGCTCTAAAGATCCATTTTCAGGTCTTGTTTGAATAAATGATATAAAACGATATAGAAAAATCATTGGAACATAATATAATGCAGCACCCATCATTGTGAATAAAAGTTGTAAGCCTATGACACGTTTATTAGCCACTATTAGTCGATACAAAAGTCTACTTCCTCTGGTTTTTTTAAAAGCATTATATAATGACCTAGCTTGGTAAACAAATGGAATTAAGTCAAGTTCTTCATCATCGAAAGTCTTTTGTTTGTAAATTTTGTAAATTAATTTAGAAACAGACGAGTAAGTAATAAAGTCCCATATAGAACAATACTGGATTGCACAAACAGCTCTTCCATTTTGAAGTACAGGTGGACCCCTCGGAGTTGTGATAGCAATCGATGTAGCCACCACAGAGAAAATAAAATTACATATTATAAATAATTTTTCAATTATTTCGTCTATGCGATAAGAATCACTTAGTCTTAACTTTACAATTGTTGTAAGTTGCCAAAGTGAACATAGGGAGGTGGTAAAAAAAAATGCAGTCAAATATGCATTTAATATCCATCTCCAATGTCTTGATCTCAATGACAAGGCAATAATTGAAATTGTAAGCGCATAAAACTTTCAGATCGAAGGTATCAAAAAGAAAACATGATAAATAAACGATATCGACAATAGAGAAGGCTAAGTGAAATAATCAAAAATAATAATAGATTTACCCAACAAATTGCAAGAATCCCAGGACTTATCGTATCAAAATTTAGATTATTTCCATTTCTAAATTTCCAAAAGAACAAGAAAGCAAACAATCCAGTCTGCAGTATAGTAACCCCAAGTTTGGAGACGTCCCTTTTTATCGTCGAAAAGCGCGCATTATCAACTATATCGTCGGAAACTTCGTCTGATGGTATTTCAATATATTTTTTTCGATTTTTAATTGTTTGTAAAATTATAGATATACTACTGACTACCGCGACAATTGCCGGGGGAAGTGTATCCACTATAGACATTTTTTTTTTAGTAAAATTTTTCGTGAAAGCAGCTAAATTTAAATGGATTCTTGTGCAACCTTTTCAAAAAAATTTATGTTCATTATCGTTATCTTTCCGCATGCATCGTTCTGCATCGTACTACATGAACACGTGCATTAGTAATAGGTGGTAGTTGCGGCTGTAGAATTAATAACGAAGTTTCCAAAAATATACTTTGGAATTTGGCTGAGCAATTCACAGGATCACAGGATAGTCGCATCATATGCTTAACGTCATAGAAGGACCCTCTTACGATTTGCTGATTTCGACTAATTCTGCAATTCCCAGGCCTATTGCCAAATCAATTACCCGGGTAACTAATTTTTTATACCTTTTTGATTGTAACCATTATAAAGGTCTATTGTTGCTTCGGTTATTTACTGCGTACTGCGCAAAATGATACTAAACCAAGATTGGCTAAAATTCATTTAGAATAGCAATTCCGTTCTGATTAGGGGGTGCAAACTGTAGGAACTCCATTAATCACTAATCACATAATACAGCTTTTTTTAAAATTTATTCCGCTTTTTTTTTTTCGTCGTTACATGATGTCGATCATCTGCGAAAATGAATAAATAAAATGCAAAGTTAATAATGGTAAACGATAGTTCGTCGGTTTAACGTTGATATTTTAATTAAGAATGGCTTTCAATGATTTAAGCTTAAAGCTCAATCATCAAAAAAGGAATTAATTAGTCACTTGAGATATCGGCATTATACTATAACGCATTTATGGCAAAATTTGCATTATCATCTATCTAAAAGTGGCCATTCCTTTTTGATGATTTTGGGCTTAAACAAATGTAGCATTCGTTTGATCGAAATATTACGTTATAGTATATTATACAATAATTTAAGGAACCCTATTTTCACTATAACGAGTCACAATGTTAGGGGGTTCAGGTAAGTGGTCATTAGAGCACAAATCCTATTGGCAAAAATTTATAATTACTGCGGATGGTTAGCAATCAATAACCTGTTGTTAATAATTTGGGTTTAAATTTTGCATTTATAAGCTCCAAATTTATTAAAAAATTTTTAGCTACGTACTCTTAAAATGTTGATAGACAATTTTTTTCATTTTAGCGCATATGCATTGCGGTGCGCAGATTGAAAATCAATTCCGCAAGTAAAATATTCTTTGAATCTGCGGATTCATTATGTTGTCAGACATTTTACGCATCTTTTTTTGAATTTTTATTATGTTTACAAAAATTAACAAGCTTTCCGCACATTGAAACAAAATCGAATTTAAACACTAATTGTGGCGCACCTTATAAGATCTGATGTAACTTGAAATCCCAGGATTAGGGTGAGGATTACAAGGTACTTGAATATTCCGTTCATTGACGTGTATTGTACAACAGTTACCACGGCTAAAAAAGCATTTTTTCTTTTTACAGAAAAGACAAATATAAAAATGAACTATGCTTTTATCAATCGAATGTGATTGTTTTATGCCTAGATCATGAAGTTGGTTCTGGTCAAATAGAAAATGAGAATAGCATACACCAAGATGAGAAAGATAATTAACATTTCTCACAATTGTTGTAGGTTGGTTGTGCCACTGTAGTGCTTTTCAACTACATGTGCATATATCTCCCAAGTTCCTATCATTTGTTACAATCATCATAGATTTGTTGTGCTATTTCAACACTTTATTTTGTCTTGACTATTGCTTACATATAGTTTTAATTTTGAAAATTGCAAGGTCTTTCCAATTTCTATGTCCAATTCATCATCCATTCTTGGGAATAATTTACTATTAGAATCAGAATTTTCAGGTTTAACTATATCTAAATCAATGTCTTCACTTTTATTATTATATAATAAGGTTTGTGTACTATTGAATTAATGATAAAATCTTTTCTAAAGTATCAAATTTTTCAATATAAATAAATTTAAAATTAATTATTTTGTATAAATGTTTTATTTTTATAAAAACTTAAGCAACAAATATAATTTATTTTGTAATTTATTTTGTAGATTCATGGATATAATTAAAGTGTTTTTTATAAAAACTAATAGCAAAACTATTTATACCTTTTTTTTATATCACTACACTTTTTTATATATTTATTTACTATCAATTTATTCAATAAAAAACCAGTCGAGTGGAAACATCTAGAGAGAGACTACTTGCACCCAAGAAAAGTAGTTACATTTATGAAAAAACTCAACAACTTCTTAACCTTTTTCTGGAAATAAGGTGAAACACTTATATATTATTTATCGATGAGTAATAAACTCTGAACTTGTCAGCAAGTAGCATATAAGAACTACTTCTAAATGACAAATACTATATGTGTAATGAGTAATAAACTCTAAAGAAGTTAGCAGGTAGCATATGAGAACTATCTTTAAATAACAACTGCTGACTTATTGCTACTAGTATATCCTCCATTTTTACTATATGCTATTGTATTTTTACAAAAAATGTATTTGGATTTTTTGGTACAGAAGATTATCAGAAAGAGTTGTATAGCTATATGAATTTGATTATATAATTGTTAATATATCTTTAAAATATATTTAAATAATATATCTATATACTTTGTAATTCTATTAAAATTAAGTCTGCTAATAAAAATTAAAGTTAGATTAAGATATTAAAGTTGAATTAAGGTTAAAATTTAAAGTTAAATTAATATTAAAATATAAACAGTCTTCCTTTTATATAGTCATCTCCTATACAATCACATCATAGTAAAACCCTTTTTATAACTATGCCAAGGCCTGAGACACTTTACTAATAAACTTATAAAAAAATACTTCTTTATAAGCACATTATAGTAAAAACTTTTATACATTCACATAATTTGTATAATACGAACTGTGTGATTATAGAGGAAGAAGACTGAAGTTAAGTAAATAAAATTGCACAAAAAATATTTTTGCTTAGTTATACAACAGGAATTACCCTAATAAAATTTTAAAATATTGATAATTTTTAATAATTTTTTATAGTAAAAAACACAAAGTGTATAGATACTGTTTAGTTTTGTTTTATATTTAATATATTAATCTTATATTATTTTAAAGGTGTTATTTTTTAGTAATCCGTCGCCATGGCAACCCCATGATCGACCAATCAAAATCAATCATATGATTATTATTTTTAGAACTCAAACCCGGTTTATCAAACTGATAAACCCAGTTTTAAATTTTTAAAATTTTATTTTTATTATTAATTATTAAAATAAAAAATTATTACAAAAAAAAAAAAAAAAAGAACTATTGCAAAGCCATTACACAATTGACAACCTGTATTTTCTCAAAACACTTACTAATTATTATATTACCAACGAATGACCTCATAATTCATGCATCTTTGTTTCAACATAACAGACCTTGATCGTTTGTTTCCCTTTCAACAATTTCACATACTATTTAACTCCCTTTTCTCATAGTACTTGTTTGCTATCAAACTCGCTTGTTTAGAGCTACGTTTTCAAACAATTCAGCTCTTCGAAAATGCAATTCTTCATGATATTTGCTGAATTCATTAAAAAAGAAAAGTAAAAATAGAAGTTAGTAAACCGGAAAAAAAGAACTCAAAGAAAAAAAAAAGAAAAAACTTGCCAAATCTGAATATCTTTATTCTGATGTAACAGACCTTGATTGTTTGTTACCATTTCAACAATTTCATGTGCTATTTAACTCTCTTTTCTCATAGTACTTGTTCGCTATTGAACTCACTTATTTAGAGCTGCATTCCCAAACAATTCGGCTCTTCGAAAATACAATTCATGATATTTGCTGAATTCATTAAAAAAGAAAAGTAAAAATAGAAGTTAGTAAACCAGAAAAAAAAAAACTCGGAAAAAAAGAAAGAAACAACTTGCCAAATCTGAACGTCTTGAATGAAAAATTCCACAACCTGCTACCGGCTTGAACGAATTTATCAAGAAAGAAAGCAAGAAAGAAGTTAGTAAACCAAGTAAAAATCTCCAAAAGAAAAGAAAAAAAAAAACAAATTTGAATACTCTAAAGAAAAATTCTATAATTTAACTTGCTACCGGCTGCTTAAATGAATTTATTAAGAAGAAAAGCAAAATAGAGTTAGTAAACCGGAAAGGGCTTCAGAAAAAAAACAGAAAAGATCTCCAAAAAAGAAAAGAAAAAACCTACCAAATCTGAACGGTTTGCATGAAAAACTCTACTTGCCCCACTGGCTTAAACGAAAAAATTTCACAATTTAGTAACCGGCTACTTAAACAATTTATTAAGAAAAAAAGCAAGATAGAGTTAGTGAACCGGAAAAGACTTGGAAAAAAAATCTCCAGAAAAGAAAAGAAAAAACCTATCAAATTTGAACGTCTTGCACCTACCGGCTTGAATAAAACATTCTACAATTTAGCTTGCTACCGGCTGCTTAAATGATTTATCAAGAAAGAAAAGCAAGAATAAAGTTAGTAAACCAAAAAAGACCTTCAAAAGAAAAAAGAAAGAAAAAAAAGAAAAACTTACCAAATTCTGAATGAAAAATCCTACCCACTTACTCCCTGCTATTGGCTTGAACGAATTTATCAAAAAAAAAAGCAAAGATTGATTTAGTGAACCGGAAAAGACCTTAAAAAGAAAGAAGAAAAAAAAAAAAAAAAAACTTACCAAATTTTGAACAAAAAATCCCATACACTTGACACTGGCTAAACGAACTTATCAATAAAAAAAAGCAAAAATTAAGTTAGTGAACCGGGAAAGACCTTCAAAAGAAAAAAGATAAAGAAAAAAAAACTTACCAAATCCAGAACAAAAAATCCCATACACTTGACATCAGCTTGAACGAAGTTATTAATAAAGAAAAGCAAAGATTAAGTTAGTGAACCGGAAAAGACTTTCAAAAGAAAAAAGATAAAGAAAAAAAAAACTTATCAAATCCCGAACAAAAAATCCCACTCATTTACCCACTTGATAACAAATTTATCAAGAAGGAAAAGCAAATATTGAGTTAGTAAACCGGAAAAGACAAAGATCTT